GGGGGGGGGGAGTGATCCGGGCGGCCGCCCCCATCCCTCCCCTCCCGCCCGCCGCCAGCCCCGCGCCCGCCGCCGCCACCGACCTGGAGCCGGCGGGCATCAAACCGTGTCCGGTATCGACACATCGATCCCACGTCGGCGGCCATCTTGGGGGAGCCCGGTGGCGCGGAGGGGCGCGGAGGGACCGGGGGCCGCCCGCCTGCCCGCCCGCCTCCACCGGGGGCGGCCCCGCGGGGAGGAGGGATGGGGAACCCTCCCGGAACACCCCTGGCACCCCCGGGGCCACCCCCGAGCGTCGCCCCCCTGATGCGGCTCCTGGACACCCCCCTGAGGGTCTGAGTCTCGGGAAGGGGCGCGGAGTCCCCCCCGCCCCCGGCGATGGATTTTTTTTTTTTTCCCTGCCAAATTAAGGGTTTTAGCTGGAAAAATCGCCAGCCGGAAGCCGCCGGTTAAACTTTTCCAGGTTTGTTTGGTTTTTTTTTCCGCCTAATCTGACCCTTGCTGCACCTTTGACCTGCTGGGAATGGCTACAGCAAACAAGCTCCCAGCGTTCCACAACCACAAAACCCCAAATTCGCAAATACCCCGAATTCAGGTTGGTTTAGAGCTGTATTTTTAATTTCTCAGTGGCTCTGAAGAATCCAACCAACTTCAGCAGAGGAACAGAGCCTCACCCTGAGCACTAACAACACCTATCCCAGAAATTCCCTCTCTGCTTCTCCATCAAAAAAAACCCCAAAACTCCACAAGTTTACATTTTCTACACCACCTTGCCCCATAGCCTGTTGTACTGGCCACACCAATATCCAAGGGGCTTGGAGAATTAATTCCCAGTCCCCTGGGGAAGCGGTACCTCCCAGCAGAGAGACCCCAGCCCCACCGGCCACCACTCAGTTTTGAGCAGAGAAGGACGGAGCTGCCCCTCTGTCGTGTCGCACTAAATAGTTATTTAGCTGTTTGCACTGGGCATTTGTTAATTTGCACTGTTCACGCGATTTGTACCCTATCACCACATGATCTTCCCCTTTTCCCCCCACCCCTAAGTGTCAGCGTTGGTGGTCGCTCCCTGGTTCCCCCCTCCCCTCGCCCCTCCTCACTGGTATCCCATTGGCAGTGCTCCTCTTCCTCCGCCCCCCATTCCCCAGGGTTAAAATCTCCCGCCATGAGGCAAAGCTCTCTTTCCCACCTTGGAAATAAGCGTCGGGCGTTGGTCCCCACGTGGAGAAGAGCTCTTCTGGTCTTTTACCTTTGCCCATGCGAGATGCTGCGGGCTGGGGTCCACAGCCAGCGGGATTGGACCCGAACATCCCGCCCAGACACGAATGTCACAGCTGGCCCCCACAGCCAGCGGGATTGGACCCGAACATCCCGCCCGGACACGGATCTCACAGCTGGCCCCCACAGCCAGCGGGATTGGACCCGAACATCCCGCCCAGACACGAATGTCACAGCTGGCCCCCACAGCCAGCGGGATTGGACCCGAACATCCCGCCCAGACACGAATGTCACAGCTGGCCCCCACAGCCAGCGGGATTGGACCCGAACATCCCGCCCGGACACGAATGTCACACCTGGCCCCCACGTGGTCGTGTCCCACCGACGGAGCTGGTGATTCACATGTGGATTAAGTTCGCTTTTGGGACTTCCAGCTTCCTCTGACTTCTTCCTCGCGTTCTGGTCGGCTGGAAGGCAGGAGGGCGGGATCAGCAGCCCGCCTTGCCCAGGGCGGATTCCTCACAGAGGATTTCCTTACATCGTTCCAGCCGAGCAGAGCCCCCAGGAGGGGTGGGTGTACCCACCAGTACTGGGGGACCCCGGAGTGATCCCCGCAGGGTGGGGGTTATTTCCCGGTGCGGGGGGAAGGGTCCGGCCCTGGGTGGAGGGTCTGTGTGTGCAGGTGGCTTTTTGTGGGTCCCCTCCCCGTTCCCCCGTGGCGGATTACGAGGCGGAGCAGCGCGACCCGCTGTGGATGAAGGGCAGCAATGGGGCCTGGGGGCTGGCAAGCAGAGGAAGAGGAAGGAGAAGGAGAAAGACAAGGCCCACATCCTGGAGCAGATGGTGAGCAGCAAGAAGCAGGAGGAGGAGGAGAAGAAGCACGGGCTGGACGAGCGGACCCCTTCCTGCGAGAAGATGCAGGAGAAGCAGCAAATGGAGCAGATCCTGAAGAAAGCATTGAAAACCCACAAGCAGCGAGTGGAGGACTCCAACAGGCACTTGGATACTCTGACTGAGCTTTATGACATTCCCAAAGTCAGCTGGACTAAATGACCAGGCTGCTTTTCACGGCTCTGGAGCTGGAGTTTTTGTTTGTATCAAGGATGGTTGCCATGTAAATCTGTCTTTTTCTCCATATTGCCTAATAAACTTCTGAGCTTTTATGACTTTATACTGTCTTATTTTATAGACTTGTTTTTTAAAACCAAACATGCAGCAATGTCTCCTCTGGGCTGAGGAGGATGGTAGATCCCTGTCCTCCTAGAAGGGCTGGAGGGAGGTGAGCAGCATGGACACCAGCAAACCCACAAGTGCTCCTGCAGTGGTCACTTGTAGTCCACCACTTCTCCTAAAATTCTCCTTGCTGCAGCAATTCTTGCACTGCTGGAGCCTGTCTCTGCACAAAGCTGGGGAGGAAGCAGCCCCTCACTGCCCAGGTATCACCCTGCTGCTGGTCCCTGCGTTTTGCAGGGCTCTGGGGATTCCACCAAAAAGCAGAGTTGGAGTTCAGAAGACACTGAAGAAAAGGGACGCTCTTGAAACTGCATCCTGCCCTGCAGGTGCTTCCAGTTCTCACAGGGACAGGTCTGCTCCTGGGCCAGGAAAATTGTCCAAAAGGGTGAGGCAGACACACAAAGTGACCTTGGCCCCACACTGTAGCACAATCAGCAAGGAAATTATCTTGTTCTTCTCATCTCTTCCACTCAGAGAAACTCAGAGCCGCTCACAATCCCGCAATTGTAAAATGCCTCAGGCAGAAGAACAAGTGAACAAAAAAATCAAAGTTCAAAGAAAGATTTGCAGGAGTCGAGGCAGTTTGTGACAGAGAGAGAGCCTGGATGCTCCTGTGAGCCCTGCACCAGCATCTTCCCTGCCTTCAGAGCTGGCTGGAAAAGGGGCAAATCCTTCTTATGGTCCTGCAGCAAACACATTGCCTGGAACTGGGGAACCCCAGATGAAAATGCTGAGAGAGCTGAAATCCCAACCCTGGTGGCATCAACAGCAAATTCCACAGATGCTCTGAGACCCCAAACATGAGTGCCCAGGTGCTGCTCCTGCTTGGGGGCACACAGGTCAAACTCCAAACAAACTCCAACTTTGTTCTGGTGACCCAAGTGCTATAAATAGATCCCCTTATCCCCCAAATCATAAAAATCAGGGAGTGGAAAAGGCTGGGAGTCATTGAGATTTGTAATGAGATTGGGGCTGCTGGTGGTGCCAGGAAACTGCTTTACCTGTGACTTAATGAGGCTGTAATTAGCTGGGGGTGGGAGCAGAGGCCCTGCAAGGGGAGATCCCAGTGGGAATTCATTTCCATACCTCCCTCAGGGCCACGGGGAGGTTTGCTCATAGACGGGTCAGTGAGCCCAGGTGGGATGAGTGGGCTTTGCTGGGGGGACAGCAAGTTCCTCCCTGTGCCAGCAACAGGGATGGCCCAGTCTCTTCATGGTCCAGGTGCTCCTGGGATCTGCTGTTGGACAGCACCAGGACATGTCCCAGGCAGGGACCTTGTCCCTGCACCCACAAAGCTGATCTCACCCCCCGTAAATCACTGCCCTGCTCTGCTGCCCAGGGAACACAGGAGCCTGCTCATAAATCAGGAATAAAACTAACTTGGCATCTTTGGTGAGCAAATTAAATTGTGGGCTTTGGAGGAATGTTTCTGTTTGGCCAAATCATTAATAAATCAATGGGAGCAGTAAGGAAGAGGAGAGGGACTGCACCCTGTGCCACCTGGAGGGACGGAGAGCTGCGGGGTGGCACAAGCCAGCTGTGTCCCCTGTGTCCCCTCAGGTGCTGCCCCACGGCCCTGGAGCACCCCGGGGAGAACAGGGGGACCCCAGTGCTGCCACCCCCCTGCACAGAGGGCTCACCCCCCCGGGGAGCGCTGCGAGGCGCAGGTTAATAAATCAGTTTGTCTCCAGCCCCGTTTGCTTTGTGTGCCTGACAATAGCCCGTTGTAAATGGCAGCCCCTTGCCTCCTCTCCTGAAAGGCTTTTAATTAAAATACGGAAGGGGCTTTTCTGTGTACAGGGAAAAAAAGGATTTCAGCACACTCCCATTCAAGGCATTAATTTATTCCTGCCTTCCTGCCTGTTTGTGATCCACGTAACTCCTTTGTGCAGTGATCTGGCCCCATTAGGCAGCCGAGGGGCGATGCTGGCAGTGAGAGCTGCTGGTGCTGACCCAGAGCTGATGGTGACCAGCCTGGTGCTGACCCAGAGCTGATGGTGACCAGCCTGGTGCTGACCCAGAGCTGATGGTGACCAGCCTGGTGCTGACCCAGTGCTGATGGTGACCAGCCTGGTGCTGACCCAGTGCTGACTGGGAGCTTGCTCGGTCACCTTGTTCCAAGGATGGGCAGAGGGACACCAGGAGTGTCACCATGGGACAGCAGTGCCATCGGAGAAATCAGGGAGGTGTGAGGCCCTGGGGGTGCCCAGGAGCTCAGGCCCAGCTGCAGCCCTGGGCACATCCCTCGTGGACACCCCCACAGCCGCAGAGCTCTGTCCCCATCCCGTGCAGCCCCTCCCAGCTGTCCCCCAGCAGGTTTTGTCCTGGGGTCCCAGAAGCCCTGGCAGAGATCGTGCTGCCCTCCTGTGTCCCCACTGCTGGGGTTTTGTCTTCTCCAGTGGGAAAAGCCAGGGCCATCCCAGGGCTCTGCCAGCTCAGGGAGGCAGGATTCTCCACAGCACTGAGGTACAAGGTCCCTTCCCTCCCAAACCATTCCCTGGTTCCATCACAGCACAGGAGGTCCTTACCACAGGTGGTGGCCATCCATGGCCTCTCCCTGCAGCCCTTCTACCCTCTCCCTTTCCTCCTCTCCTCTCTGCTTCTTTCCCTCCTGCTGCTCTCCCTGCCCTTTCCTCCATCCCTTTCCCCCATCCCTTTTCCTCCATCCCTTTCCCCCATCCCTTTTCCTCCATCCCTTTCCCCCATCCCTTTTCCTCCTTCCATTTTCCCAATCCCTTTCTCCCATCCCTTTCCCCCATCCCTTTTCCCTAATCCCTTTCCCCAATCCCTTTTCCCAATCCCTTTTCCCCCGGGGACACGGGGGGACGGGGGGGGCAGGGGGGGACACAAGGGGACACGGGGAGACACGGGGAGGACACGAGAGGACACGAGGGGGACACGAGGGTACAGGGGGTGACACGGGGGGACAAGGTGAGGGGGGCCAAAGGGACAAGAGTGGCACAGGAGTGCAGGGTGAGACACCTCGGGGGGTGACAGCACCCCCTGGCTCCCCGCGGTGCCCGCGGGACATCGCTGCGCTGTGCCCTGCCCCAGCCCTCGCTGCCCCCCGGGTGCCCCAGGATGTGCAGGGAGTGTTCCCGGGCTCCTCCACCGCCCGCCTTTCTGCCTCGGCTACTTAATACACGCGCATTTCCCCTCCAATTAGCACATGCTCTTTAATTAATTTTCCTCTTTTATTGCTTGGCCCAAACGATCTCGGCCCCGGCGCCGTTGGCGCGCTCGCGGCAGATAACGCCGCTATTTACGGCTTTCCTGTCAACGCTGCGCTCGGGGGGCCGGGACAGCACCTCCCCCGGGCCGCACCCTGTTCTCAGCTCCGGACACAGCCCCGGGACAGGCCAGAGCTCAGGAGTTGTCTGTCCTCATCCCCATCCCCGGCTCTGGCAGGCAGGTGGCAGCTCCTCCCCAAATTCCTGAGCTGGGCAAACCCTCCCGGCAGCAAGCGCGGTGCTGTAACTTTCCAAGGGAAAACGGAGCTGAGTCAGGCAAAGCTGCGGCATCAGACCTGTCCGGAATAAGCTGCTACACATGGAAATCTTCTGAACCCAGAGGCGAGAGGGGTAAAACCCTCTGAAAGCTCCTGAGGGTGCTGCTGGCAGAAAGGAGCGGTGGGGGAATGTGGTGGGCAAGGGAAGGATGTCCCCAAAACCTCACACAACGGGAACTGAGCTGCAGGGGTGTGATGGAGGGCACAGAAACCAGCTGTGGCACAGGAGATGAATTTCAGCCAGCACCAGGGCCCAGGGTCACCCCCACACTCCCCAATTCGAGCATCAGGGATGGGGTGACCACCTCTGGCAGCTTCCAACTGCAGCTCCCAGCAGGAATCTATCTTTCTACCTTTAATATGGTTTCCCCCTTTAAAATAATCATTACCAATAAACAAATGTAGCAGCCAGTTGTATATAAGCATCAAATTAAGCAGGTACATGCATTTGTTATGTTTGATATAGTCTTGTTAACTGGAAATTCCCAGGTTTGGAATATGTATTGATTTCAGCAAACATATATTACTTTACTGTAAGTACCCACAGCCATTGTAGTTAATATACAACAGTTTAATTTAAAATGCATTAGTTTAATAAAAATGCATAAAACAGAAGGGAATTGCATTAGCTTCAATAAAAAAGAATTCAATTTCATAAATATTATCCAGTGTTAAAATGCATTGATTTCCTGGGAAAATGTATTGGTCAGAGGTAATTTACATTGGTTTGGATGGGAACGTCCCGGAGTGTATACATATGTATTAGTTTAGTCAAATGTGTCTGATCACAGAAAAAAACACCGGCTGGAGCAAAGGATATTCATAAGGAGCAGGCACGGAGTGAGGGGCTGCACGAGCCTTCTCTGGAGCATCCCGGCCCTCTGAGGGGGCTGTGCTGAGGGCTGGACACCCCCAGACCGGTTCTGAGGGTGCTCAGGTTCGGGGGTACCGGGATGCTGCCAGGATCCCCGGGACACGGAGCCGTTATCAGCCCCGGGCAGGCCTGGGCTGGCTCAGGCAGAGCACAGAGCAGGGGTTAATCAAATCCTTTTGACTCCATTTTTTATCGAGCTCAAGAGGGGCTGGCCTATTAATTAGAAAGGCTTTTTCATGTAAAACACAGGCTCTTTTGCAGATAAGAAGGGACGATGCTTGATTTTGCCGTGGCACAGATCCGTGTGTTATTCCTTGACATCCATTCACAGGCTGTAGCCACTTCCCACAGCTCTTTTGTTCACTACGGGGCTCCAGAGGCAGGTTTGTGCATACAGACATATTTAAAGCACTCAGGTTTTCCTGGGGGCCAGCAAGCCCCCCAATATCCACAGGAGGAGAAGGATGTGATGTGCCTGGAGGCGCTTCCATCTGCAGGCTGGAGCAGGATCCTCAGGGGAGAGCAGGATCTGGCCCGTGCAGCACAGAGGATTTCAGCTGACAGCAAGAAGTGAGCAGTGGAGCAGATGCAACGTCTTACAAATCGCAGCAGAAACCCTGGCAGCCATCTGCACCCCATGCCCATCCCGGATTTCTGTGCCACCCTCTGCACCCTGACCCTTCACCAGCCCTGTCTCACCCCGACCGCAGCCGAGGTGACACGGGGGAGAGACACAGATCTGCTTTCTTCCAGGCTGGGTGGGCAAAAATGGTTGTTCCCGAAAAAATAACATTCTGGGAGACCTCCACAGCTCCAGGGTTTCCTGCTCTGCTGTGCCCCAGCACGGACACGGAGCCGGGGACAGGGACAGGCAGAGCCCAGGAGGCGCCGGTGGCTCCATGGCCAGTCCTGCGAAACCACCACCCATCGCTTCCTGATGCTTATGGATTTTTCCTTAATGCCACAAATTAAGGTAATTGGGCTCGGCTGGACGATGAATCCAGCTGAACTTGGCAGGACGAGGGACATCCGTGCCGAGATTGATCCCGCTCATCCCCGGCTGCGCCCGGGGCTGCTCCTGGCCCCAGCTCTGCTCCCGCCGCTCTTTCTCCTGCCCTTTTTGCTCACACAGACCTCAAAACACATCCTGAAATCCTTTCCCTGAGCTGCAGCTCCATCCAGACGAGATGGTCATTCCCGGATCAGTTTTTTTCTCCTCCACAGGCACTTTTCCATACACACTTCCCCACTGAAATCTCCTGAAACTGCCTACTGAAATCCTGCCCGTAATGCCATCCTCGCTGGCACGGCCGTGGCAGCCGGGCGGCGAGTGCCAGGGATTAAACACGATATTTGTGACCTCCGGCAGAACAAGGGCAGCGTCTGGGCAGAGCCCGGAGTTCCAGGGATCTGGTTTCACAATCCCTTTTGTTCGCAGCCCTCCCTGCTCGCCCACCACCCTCCTCGGCATGCGGAGGGGACAATGCCGGGCAGCGAGGCCACCGGGTCATGGCCATGGCACCGCAGAGTTTGGGGGGCTGATGGGCATCCTTGGGGGGCAGCACCATTCCCACCCCAGCATGCCCGTGAATCCTCCTCCAGCCTCATCCCGGGCAAGGAGAGAGGGAGGGGGGAAAAAATGGACAGGCTGAAGACAAAGGGAACCGCCCGGTCCCGGCAGCCGCAAGTCCTGCTCCACAAACACAGCAGAACATGGGAGAGGTTTTGTGGGATTGCTGCCCGTGGGTTCCTTGGCTGCAGGAATGCTGAGCCAGAGCCCGGGCAGTGCGAGCGTCATCCCTGCAGGATGTGTCCCCGGGACAGAGCCCGGCATCGGGAGAGTTAAATGTGTGTGTCCCACCGGGACCAGGGCGAGCAAATGCTTGGCTTGAGTGGGTGACAGGTGCCTCAGTGGGGGTGACACATGACAGAGGAGCTCTTCGTGCCTGCCCGGCTCTGGGGCAGCTCAGCATCCGCCTCCGGCCCCGCCGCGGGGATGCGGGATGGGGCTGCGGGATGGGGATGGGGCTGTGGGATGGGGCTGCAGCTGTATGGAGCTCCGGGATGGGGCTGCGGGATGGGACTGCGGGATGGGGCTGTGGGATGGAGCTGCGGGGTGGGGCTGCAGTGGGATGGAGCTCTGGGATGGGACTGCGGGATGGGGCTGCGGGATGGGGCTGTGGGATGGGGCTGCAGCGCGATGTCCCACCTCGGCCACAGGCTGGGTGACCAGGCAGCTGCTCCTGCTCCGGGAGCATCCCAAGGGAGGCGATCCAAGGGCGGGGGGCTGGAGCAGAGCAGCTCCTGGCTGTGCCATGCCAGCGCTGTGATGGGGCTCCCAAAAACGCCTGGAAGCACCGAGGAGAAACATCCACATCCCGAAGCTTGGGGGTTCTAGCGGGGGGTCCCCTGGGGCCAGCCCCTCCCCGCGTGTCCCAGCGCAGGGGACAAGCCCGGCGCCAGCCCGAGTGACAAAGGCAGGTGGGATTGTTCCCGAGCAGTCCCGGGTCAGCATCCCCGGGGTGGGAGCTGGGGCCACCCGGCACTTCGTTAACCTTGAAACCCTCCCGGGCTCACATGTCACGTCAGCCGGTGACAACAACAAGCTGCTATTCCAGATTAGAGAGAGAGGGACAGAGAAAGGCAGAGACAACAGGGTTGGGGGTGGCCAAATTACCTATTACAGCCAAAAGTGGGCATGGGGCTATTTTTAACCCCGAGGGGGGTGTATTTATTGTTCCAGCCGGGGGGAGTGAGGGAGTGCCTCTGGGACACCCCTCACAGGGACATCGGCAGCTGAGCGAAGCCATGGTGAGTACTGAGAGCCCAAAGCTCCAGCAGGAAGAGATAAAATTAATTTGATTTTTCACCAGAATAGCTTTAATGGGCAGGGGGCAAAGGAGGCATCAAGGAGTTGAGGGCCAAGGGTCTTGTCTGCCTTGGAAGGGGGGTGAGAAAACTGGGGAGCATCTGGGCGGATCAGCAGCATCTCACAGGGAACAGAGAGGCGTCTCCCATGCCAGCAGAGTTTTCAAATGAGTGCAGGTGGTTTTAGGGTCCAAATGCCGTTTTTTTTCTTTCCCCTTCCTTCATGCAGTGAGAGGAAGGGTCATTTTGTGCCCCCAAAATCCTCCTCCTGTCAGACCCCCATGAGAGGAAACGGCTGCAGGAGCAGGCGCAGGAATGAGGGATAATGGGCTGGGTGGGACAGCGAGGGGCCCTTCAGTCCTCTTTAAAACACACACTGACCCATTTCTGGTTTGTTCAAGCCTCAGTGCAGGAGGAGGCAGATTTTTAATTAAGCCATATTTTAATATCAGCACAGCAGGGTAAAGAAGCACTGACTGGCCACAACCCATATGTGCAACCTCAGCAGTGCTCCCAAAACCAGGGTTCCAGCGGGGATATCTCACCCCAGAGCTGACCCTTTTACCTGCCAGTGGGAGAAGGGATTTCACTCCTCATCTTTCCTTGGACCTATTTGGCTAAATTCACCAGGAGCTGAAATTTAAGCAGGAATCTTAATGCCCCTCAGCATCCCAGAGCTGCAGGGAGAAACTACCAAGCTCCCAGGGAAGAGAGCCCCAGCCCAGAGCTCCCACCAAGGAGTCACAAGTAAGAACAGGGCACTTCCATGCTTTTATTTCACCCCATAAAAAGCCAGTGAGCTAATGGTACATACCTGGACTCCTGCAGGCACCCAAGAAAGCCAAGAAGAGGATTGAAGGTGCCAATTCCAATGTTTTCTCCATGTTTGAGCAGGCGCAGATCCAGGAATTCAAAGAGGTAGGTGGCTTTGGTGGGAAGGACTGAGGGTCCTTGATGTGATGTGACCTTCAGCTCTTTCTCTCAAGTGACAGCTGGTTCACACCAGGAGGCAGCAGGCCCGTTTTTGGGTGGTTTTATTTTAAAAGTGAGAATAACAACTCAGTGACACCGTTAAATCCGGCAAAGCCTCCAAGCTTCCAAGGAGCCAGATTCCCCCAGAGGATCAGGCACACCCGAGGGAGCTGGAGAAGATCTCCCAGCTCACTGCCACCTGCCTTGCCAGGAGCTCTCACCCCCTGCACGGCAGGGATGTGGTCCCAGTTCCAGGAATAACTGGCTCCAGTTGGAGGAGCTGATGGCCTCTCTGCCGGTGTCATACTGGGGTGAGAGGGATTTGTCCAAGGAAAGGGCTTGTACAGCTTTGGGGTTTGGGTTGCCATCGCCCCAGGGTGCTGGACTGTGAGGGATGAGAGTGAGTGAGACCCCCAGAGCTCATCCTGGGAGGGCTCAAAATGCCCTTATCCCATCCAAGCTGAAGGGAGAAGGAGAAAGGTGCTGAAGCCTTTGTAAAGGCTGACAATTCCTCCTTTCCCCGTGCTCCCTGCCCTGCTCCTGTGCCTCCAGGCGTTCACCATCATGGATCAGAACCGGGACGGCTTCATCGACAAGGCAGATCTGAGAGACACCTTTGCTGCCCTTGGTGAGCCCAGCTTTAGCAGCCTCCCCTCCCCAGCTTTGCCAACACCAGGCCTGGTAATTGAGAAACAAGGAGGGGTGGGGGCGTTTAACCAAGCCTCTGTCATCCACTGGATCTCTCATTTTGACAAAAACCTCCTGATCCAAACCCAAGCCTGTCAGCTGGGAGATCCCTCATGGGTGATCCCGGAGCAGCTCCCACAGCAGCTCTGGTTTATCCCCTTGGCACTGGAGCCAGCTCCTGGGTTACACAGCCAAACACTCCCTGCCTTTTCCATGCTTAGGAGCACCTGGCTGTGCCCATCCCACGGCATCCCAGGGTATGTGGGCATTAAGGGGATTTAGGGGATTTGTGGGAGGCTGTGACACTGCGAGCTCGGCTCTGCCATCAGAGGTCAGCATGAATCAGCAATGGAGTTCCAAGGACAGCCCAGCCTCTGGAAAAAGGAGGTAGATGTTCAATCCCATTTGCTTTTGGTGCTGGGGAACAGGAAGATCCTCAATGCTGGTGGTCTTGACCCAAAACATATTCCAAGGAGGCTTAAAAGGGGCTGATCCATGGGGCAGTGAGGCAAGGAAGCAGCACAGCTCAGTCCTTTCATCCTTCTTTTCTGTGATCCTGGAGCCTGAGAAGCCAGAGCTGGAGATGATTCTCTCACCTCACTGCTGCTACCCCCATTCCTTGTCAGAGGTGGATCCCCAGGAGTGTGCTATTTCCCTCCAGTGGGGGAAAATCCCCCAGGGAAAAGTTCTGTGGTGTCTGTTTTTAGCCCCCAACACGCAGAGCAGGACTTGGATCCACGACTGACCCACAGCTGCTCTCCCCAGGGCGCCTGAATGTGAAGAACGAGGAGATCGATGAGATGATAAAGGAGGCACCGGGCCCCATCAACTTCACCGTGTTCCTCACCATGTTTGGGGAGAAGCTCAAGGGTGAGAGGGCACCTGGGGAGTTGGGGTGCTCAGTGGTGCTCAGTGGCATTCCAAAACTCCTGCTGATTTGCAATACCAGCCATGCCTATGTCCAAAGATCTTATCCCACATCTCCCCAAACTGTTGGGGGGTATGAGATGGTCTCTGTGCCTCAGTTTCCCCAGCCATTTACAAAACCCAAATGGCTGTGCTGCTGTCCCATAGGAAGAGGGGACAGTTCTTGCAGCACCTCTGAGCCTGCTGACAGCAGCAGTGCCAAAATTGGCCCCCCTGCCTACAGCCAGACTTTGACCCACCATCCCATCTGGCTGTACCCTGAATCACGTACTTAACCCAAGGAATGCAGCCTCCTGCCGATCTCCAAGAGGCTGCAGGGCCCCAAGGGCTGTGCCTGGAGCTCTATAAATACGCTCCAAAGATTAGATAAATGCCGGATGCCGGAGCGGTGGCGACACCGCCTGCTCTGTGCTCGCACCGCGGCCCCACGGCTGCTCCTCTGCACTCCACCAGCTTCACTCGAGCCTCCAGCTGCAGGGCCAGCATTCCTGCAGGGGCCCCACTTTCCAGTCTGTCCCCCATTTTGTCCCCGAGGCTGGGAGAAGCAGGAGGCTGCAGTCGGCTTCCTACTTTACCATCTCCAACGGTAATCAAATCTCAAATCATGGCTTTGTCACCTACAGGTGCCGACCCAGAGGAGACAATCCTGAATGCATTCAAGGTGTTTGATCCAGAGGGGAAAGGCCTGAAATCTGCCTAGTGAGTGCAGGGGTACCTGGGGCAGGGAGTGAAGGGGGTGTCCCCATGAGGACCTGCCCTGTGCTCACCGCGCTCTCTCGTTTGCAGCATCAAAGAAATGCTGATGACGCAGGGGGAGAGGTTTTCCCAGGAAGAGGTATGATCTCTTTCCCACCTTCTGCCAGCCTCCCTCCATCCCAACAGACCCCATCCCTCCTCCCAGCCCAGTCCCAAACCCCTCCCACGCCACCTTTTCTCACTGCTCTTCCCTGGCAGATCGATCAGATGTTCGCTGCCTTCCCTCCGGACATGTCTGGCAACCTGGACTACAAGAACCTGGTCCATGTCATTACTCATGGTGAAGAGAAGGACTAGCCCAGGCTCAGGGCTGGGGCTGGCACTGCAAGATCACCTCTCCCTAGGTCACTCGGGGGTTCCCTTTCCTCTTCCCCTGGAGAGGCATGTGCCTGGGAATTTGGCACGGGAATGGCATTCACATTAAAAGGCCTTTTGGCAAGAGGAAACCCAGCTGCTGGTGTGAGCCGTGCTTGGGCTTGTGCGGTGTGCCCGTGCCCCGTGGGAGCCCTCAGATCCTTCCAGACCCTGCTGGCCTCAGCACCCCAGACCTACTGCACGTCACCCTCGTGTGTCCTCCAGTCCCTCTGTCTCCCACTTCCACTCCCAGCCCCAAACCAGTTCCACACTGGGCTGTGCCCATCCCACCTGGTCCCACAGCCCAGGGTCAGCACCGAGCTCAATTTTCCTTTAGGCAGCAGAGAGTTATCAGCTTCTGCCAGCTGAGCAGGGAACCCCCCATGAGCACACTCATCCCCTGCATCCCTCCTGCCAGGCCCTGCCCTGGGGCACAGTGCAGGATTGGCACCTCTGGCTATGAGGAGTGCCTTGGGTCGTGTGACAGGGATGTCACCCTCTGCTAGAGCAGCTGATCCCACCTTGGCTGTGGGTGCTGTCAGCAGTGGGTGAAGCCATGCCAAAATATCACCTGGTGAGGTTCTGAAGCCTGTGAAAGGTGTTGGGCTCCTTCCAGAGAAGCAAGATGGAATGATGTGCGGAATGCAGAAGCTCAAGAATGAAACAGCTTCTTTAATTCCCTGATGGGCTCCTGGTCTCTGATGGGCTCCTGGTCCCTGATGGGCTCCTGGACCCTGAGGGGCTCCTGGCCCCCGATGATGTGAATCTCCTCCTCCTCTTGCCCGAGCTGGGGGGCCTGCTCAGCTCCTCCTCGTGCCTCCGGATAACGAGCTCACGCAGCTGATCCCGGCCCATCGGCTCTTCCGCTGCCCAAGAGAACGTCCATCCCATAATACACAGTTTTACAGGTGTCATACACCCCGGTGGGGCAGGACAGGCTGGAGGGGATGGACTGGGAAGGACATGTGGCAGCAGGGCTTGGCCAGGCAGCCACGGGGGATTGGGGAGCGGTTGCTGCCCGGCCGTGGCTCCTCTCTCCCCACTCCCTGCTCACCGGTTTTGGGCTCAGCCGTCTCCTCCAGGTCTGGGGGGGGTGGGCAGAGCTTGGACCTGTCCATGGTCCCCAGGAGCTTGGAGGTTCCCTGGAGAGGGCTGGTGAAGGCCTGGGTGCGCTGGGTGCGATCGATGGACGTGTAGCGCAGCAAGGACTCCCTCAGCAGGAACTCCTTGATCTTGTCCTCCACGGGACCTGGGTGGGAAGGAGCCACAGTGTCCAGCAGTGTCCCTGCAGCAGGACCCTGCCCAAACCCACCCCTGGCTGTCTGCAGAGCAGGGGATCCACTGGTTTCCCTCCCCCAGGGTCAGGGGGCCAGTGTTGGGTCATGGAATCACAAAATCACAGAGTCATTAATGTTGGAGCAGACCTCCAAAATCATCAAGTCTGACTTCATACTGAGTATTCCCTGCCTGTTAAAGCATACCACAAAGCGCCACATCCCCTTTATTTTTTGAACACTTTGAGGGTGGTGATTTTACCACTTCCCTGGGAAGTCTGTTCCAATTCTTGACCACTATTTCAGTGAAGAAATTTTTCCTAATATCCAACCTGAACCTCCCCTCATGTAATTCCCCTTGTGCTCTTGCTGGCTGCCTGGGAGGAGAGGCTGACCCCCATTGCACTCCAGCACCCAGAGCCACGATGAGGGTTTGGGGATCTACTGGGATGTTAAAAATCCAAATTAGCTCCCAAATTTGCTGGGAATTTGGCATTGCAAATTCACTTTATGGCACACGTGACTGATGGGACAGGGGAAAACAAAAGCTCAATTTAAACACAGTGCAAGCAGGTGGTGGGCAGGATTTCTCAGGGCACATGGCATGGGAAGATGGGCAGCCCTGACCTACCAAAAACTGGCACCAAGCTCTCCCCAAGAGGTTTCACAATCTTTGTAGTGTCACAGTCCATGTTCTTCAAGAGGGTCTCCATGCGAGATTGGATCTGTCCCAGGAGTACGCTGCTCTCCTTGCATTTATTCTCATACTTGTTGGCTTCCTCGGTGGTCTCTGCTATTTTCGCCTACCAGCAAAGGTTTTTGTGTCACAAAGGTGTCACACCAGCCCCTCGCTGATGCCACCACCCCAGTGCTGCCCAGTTTCAGTCTGGATACAGAATCCCAGGAGGGGTCAGGTTGGAAGGGACCACAAAGGGTGGTCTGGTCCAACCTCTACTCGAGCAGGGTGATCCCAGAGCACAGAGCACAGGATTGTGTCCAGACAGTTCTGGAATACCCCAGCTGCCCATGCTGGCCCGGGGCTGGCAGGAGCCCCACAGCCACCCTCTCACCATGCCCTGGGGGCTGACAAAACCTTTGCAGGGCCCTTTTCTGCCCACACCTCTCCAGCCAGAGCAGCATTTACAGGACCAGACTCTCTGGAACAAGTGCTGGGACAGACAGGGATATGCTGCCTTTCCAGAGGAATCCATGGTCACCATACCTCCAGCTCCTGCACGACGTGGGTGCAGGTCGTCTCCGCCTGCTCCCGCTCCGTTCTGATGGCCTTCATGTCATCCTGTGGGAACACCAGCTCGTGGAGGGGCTACCCATGGAACCCTACCCATGGGCAGCCCAGGGAGCGGGTGAAACGTAAACTTTGAGGAATTCAGAAATTTTAGAGGAGCTAAGACTTTAGTTAGGGATAAGCTTTATTGGAGTTAATTAAAATAAATAGGTAGGCCTTGATGAAGTCAAGAGTTAGTATTTAATAATTGATTGCTTGTCAGCACAATGTTTGGCTAGCTGGGTTTATAATGAAGAATATAGAAACTGACAAAAAGGTTTTAGTAACATAAGACAGTTGTGGCCTCCTCTGTTCTGAAACCAATTAAAGAGAGGGAAAGGGAGTTCTACCAAGGGTTCATTTGTCATATTTGCATTGAAAAGGTAGAAAGGTCAGAACGAGGAAGACTTCATTTACTTCCTCATTTTGGGACCCCTCTCCATGAAAGGGACCCCCAACCCATTTCAAGGAACAAACTACGCATGCTTAATAGCTTTTTAACTAATTAGCATACGAAGCCGGGAATGGGATGTACCAAAGTTATGAATATGTATTTGTATTTTGGGTATTCAACACTTGCATAGATAAAAAGGGTCTGTAATCACCTGTAAATTGCAGTTTGTATTTGGGAGCTGCCCAGCGTTGCAATAAACATACACCTTCTAACTTTAAAAACTGTTAGAGAGTCTTTGTCCATCACAGTTGGATATCAGTACTAGAGCAATATCCATATTTCTAATAAATCACAGGTTCTAGATCAGTATCCATATTTTTTTAATAAATCACGGGGACACCTCCAGGGAAATGGAGAGCCCTCCAAGCAGCCCCACAGAGTTCGGGGGAGCTCCTGGCTCCCCGGGACCCTGCAGTATTTTTGCTGGGTACACGGTGGCAGCATTGAGACACGTTTAGCTCCGAGAGCACAGCCGAGTTACGGGTCTGGCTGCTCCTCTGCATCCCCCCAATCCTACCTGCGTGGCTGGATGTGGGCAGTGATGCCCACTCGGGAGAGGACCAACCCACCCTGACCCAAAATCACTAGGTGGAAAGGGGAGACAGGAAGAGCCAGGAACAGACCTGGATGGCCTCGATCCTCTGCCTGAGACCCTCGTTCCTGACGTTCAGCCTAATGGCATAGCTGAAGAGGATGAAGAATCTCCTGTCCTTTTCAAGGAAGTCCTCCAAGAAATCATCAATGTCTCCGTCCGACAGCTCCAGCAGACGCTTGTAGGCCACCTCGTAGCTCTCCTTTTGGCTCCTTTTGGCCCTCTCAGCTGCCTCTAAGGCTGAGGAAGAGACAGAGAGCTGTGGTTGCCCTCTGCAGAGCCTTCCCCGTGGTGCTGTGGGGTTTGGTGCAGGGCTGGGGCAGGAGGGAGCAGTGCTGGAGGGGCAGAGGGTGCCTCTTCCACCAGGAAACCAAGCAGGGATGTCATGGGAATGGAGCAAACACCATGGATTCCCTCCCAGGAGGATAGAATTATTAGATTAGATTAAATTTTAGCAAGGTGAGGGTGGTGAGACCATGGCACAGGCTGCCCAGAGAAGCTGTGGCTGCTCCATCCCTGGAAGTGTCCAAGGCCAGGCTGGACAGGGCTTGGAGCAACCTGGGCTAGTGAAAGGTGTCCCTGCCCATGGAGGGGGTGGAACTGGATGAGTTTTAGGGCTCCTTTCCAACCCAACCTGTTCTGTGGTAAAAGGAGCCATGGCTGCACGCAGGAGCAGCTCCCTGTCCCAAGGGCACCCCAAGACACTCAGTCTCACTCAATTATCACTGTTCAGCCTTTCTGCTTGTAGGGTGAAGGTTGGGTGGGGGAGGCTGTGGGCAGGGCAGGCATCCTGCCTTTGGGGTGCAATTCTGTAAACCACCACGAGCAGCCCAGCCCCATCAGCTCTGCAGACTTCGGGTTCGTGATCCCAGTCACACAAATTCTCCTCTGATACCTTCTCTCTCTTTGGCCTGTTCCTTCAACACAGAGAGGTCTGCACATTTGCTGAGGAAGAAGTTCTTCAGCCTGGTCTCCTGGTGCAGGGCACACTTCCTCTCCAGCAGCCTGATGTTGTACTGGATGGTTTCTCTGTAGCGCACGTCCCGAATGTCCGAGATCCGCCCCAGATCCTCCATCCTGCACATGTAGAGCAGCATTCACACCTCGTGTGTGTACAGGTTCTGTGTTCCTGGCCACTCCCAGGAGTGCCAGACCTGGCAAAGCCCCTGTGGTGCTGTGCTTGCTCCCAGCTCTCATCTGGATGGAGTGGAGTTAGTCCAGAGGGAATTCACGGCCACTAACACAGCTTTTGGTGGGGTTTTGTACCAGGCATAGTACCCAGCTCAGGTGGGATTCAGAAAAAATAGACTCCTCCATGGGGCAGTCCCACGGTTCCAGTCCCATCCCATCCAAAGAAACATGTGGCACAGATGGAATTAAACACCCTGGAGGTACCAGTCTCCCCACACTGACCAGGCACCCAACCCTTAGCACCCAGACCTAGCTGGGAGTGGTGAATCCTCTCTCTGAAGCCTCACTTGGTCTCTCTGTTTGAACCCTCATCACTGGCATCACCCACCAGCCCCAAGCTCTGCCCAGAGGGCTGACAAGGCCACGTACCACTGCTCGTAATCTTCTGTGGCTTGCTCAATAGCAGCATCCAGCAATTTGTTCTGCTGAGCCAGACTTTTTTCCAGCTTCCAGTAGCAGTTGTCATAAATGGCTTTCTGGATCTGCAGGCTGGCAGTCTCCTCCCGGAGACTGTTGTTCCTGGTCATGATGCTGTTGTAACGGACAGTGGCCTGGGGAGAGCAAAGCAAAAGCTGTGGAACTGGTGGAACTGGTGGGGGACTGGGAGGATTCAGGTTGCTGCTTAAAGACCTTGACCAGGGCAGAGTCAAACACAGCCCAAGAGATTTGAATCTGGCCCTGCACTGTCCTTCTCCCCGAGAGATTAAAGGCAACAGAAGACCAGGCTGACCACAACAGAGACCTGGAGCTGGCTTTGTCCAAGGCAAGGTGGCTCCAGGCAGCCCAGTTTGATCACAAAGCAGGTGCAGACCTTCAGGCACAGCACAGGTGCTGCATTTGGGTCACCAAGCCTGAAGGAGCCTTTGAGATATTCTGGGAATGATCAGGCCAGGGGAACAAGCCAGGTGCTTCATGCAGCTTGTGTCAACCAAATACATTTGCACCACTGTGCTTTGTCCTGACCAGAAAGGACCCAGGCCCCTGTGTGACCCCACACATGTTCTCCAAAAGTCTCCAAAATGTTTCCTTACATGACTCAAACGCATCTCCAGTAACTCGATCTTCTTCTGCAGGTGTTTGCGGCTCTTTGCTTCCAACACTCTCCAGGCTGTGTCTCTTTGCTTCACTATCTTTTTTTCCAGCTCTACAACCTGTACACACACACACAGAGGGAAAAAAACCCAGGAAGTATAATCTCCACCCCAGCATTCTGGACTTTTTTCAGGACACAGAGCCAAAGAAAATCCCTTCTGTTGACCTGAACTACAGCAACCGTGTCATTAATGAGCTCTCTGTTATAGAAGCAGCTTTAATCCCAAAGCATCCCACCCTGCACACGCAGAAACATAAACTGTAACTGGAAATGTTGGGGGTTTTTTTTGTGTGTCTCGAAGGAAGTGCAGCTGTTTTTGCAGGGAGCTCCAGCAGGTGCTGAACACAGCACAGCAGCACTTTGTAGAGTGGAAGAGGCAATGAGGACGGGGCTTTGGCAGAGGTGTTGTGCTGGCCAGGCAGGGATCTGTGCAGTCCTCCCTGGAAATGAGTGGAGGAAAACTTCTGCCAGAAGTGGGGAGCTTCCAGAGGAAATAAATCCACGGAAGAGTGAAGCAGTTGGAGAACAGCAAAGCAGGAGGCAGGTGGGGGAGGGATGACTCAGGCAAGTCAGAGTTCTCATCCCTGACAAAGCCAACCCTGCTGGGAAAGCTCTGCAGCACCTCCAGCAATGGCAAACTATCCCAGCATGTTCCCTGGAGTCCAGCTTGGGCAGCTGGCTCTGAGAACAATGCTGAAGGGAACTGTCACTTCCACAGCCCACGTTTCCCTTGGCTTCCCACTCCACTCCTGCCCAAATCCAACCAGGATGTCCTCAGGAGAAGGGATGGGGCATCCCTCAGATGCTGCTGTTCCTGTATTTGCCACACCCCAGACAGCACTGTTCCAGTTTTACCTCTTTTTCAGGAGAATTTAAAAAGTGAAGGGAGAAGGAGAGGGATGTTTGTGGCCCCAGGCTGGTGTGTGCCATCACACAGGGCTGCAGGGACCAGTGGGACAAGGTTGAGAGTCCAACCTCACTTTTCCAGTCAGTGCTGCTGACTTGAATGGGAGCCTGGTTCTATTTGTCATTGTCATGTGTCACTTGCCAGGAGGAATATTCCAAGGCCTGAGTTAAATGTGTTTTACACTGAGGAGTTTCAGCCACAGGTCTCATCCTGTGACTCTGCCCTGCTGTGCTCAGGCAGGGAACAGTCCTGATGCTCTCACCTGCTTGGCCAGGTCAGCTAACTGGGCTTTTCTTTCTTTGATCAGGGCATCATTCTGCATTCTGGTCTGCAAAAGGCTTTGGATCTTCCTACGATTTCTGTTTTCCAGCAACACACTGCTCGGTGAATAGATCTGGCTCAGCGTTAATGTCACATGTCTGCGTTCTTGCTTCAGATCATTTATTGCTTTTCTGTAAAAATGGAACAACAAATGACATTTAGCACATCCCATCTGCCAGGCCAGGTCCTTACCCCTCCCCATCTCTGCTCTGTGGTCCCCATATCTCTTTATAAAAGAGAGGGAGCAACATTTTATAAGGGCAGATGAGATAGGACAAGAGGGAATAGATTTAAGCTAAAAGAAGAGAGATTGGGATCAGATGTTAGGAAGAAATTCTTTACTCAGAGAGTGCGGAGGCCCTGGCACAGAGTGCCCAGAGAAGTTGTGACTGCCCCATCCCTAGAAGTGTCCAAGGCCAGGCTGGACAGGGCTTGGAGCAACCTGGGATAGTGGAAAGTGTCCCTGCCTGTGGGATTCTATAAATCTGTGGTTTTGGCATGGAGGAACTTCCCAAGCAGAGCTGTACTCACTCCTGAGCCTGCATTTGCCGCCAGATATCGGCATCGAAGAATTTCCTCTTGTATGCTTCATGATGAAAATGGGTCTGCAGATGCCTGATCTCCACTTTAGCCCTTATTTCCTTGTCCTTTTCAGGGAGGTCCAGGTCTGCTGAGGCTTCTCTCCTCTGCCACAGACAAGAGAGGGTTTGGTCAGTCGAGCAAACACAGCCGGCAGGGGCAGCAGCTGAGCAGCACCAGCTCTTCCCTGGCACCTGGATCCATCACCACCCAAAACACACAGTGCTGGCTGAGCTGGAGCCAGCACCTCAATTCCAGGACAGGGAGAGCTTTCCACCAGTGAAGAGGACAGGTGATGGCAGGTTGTCACCTCTTTTATCACCCAGCACAACAGCGAGGACCACGTGAGTCAGAACCAGAGCCACTGTGCTGGGGGCATGGATGAGCCCAGCTGGCTGCCCAGGAGTGGAGCAGGAGTGCTCCTGTCCCCGACCATCAGAAGGTGACTTCTAGATGACAAACTGCCCAGCAGGCAAGCACTGAAGGCAGTTATACCCACCACTACCCGTGTCCTCAGCTGACTCCAATTCCCCAACACTGTCTCTCCCAACACCCAAATCTCATTCCAGGGCCTCACTCCTGGCACAGGAGAAGCAGCCCCACTGCTACCCAGCACCTTGCTGGCAGGAGCAAACCTGGCTCCCACTGCTGATGTGTATTTCCAAGGGTAAAATCCCCACAGCAAATCCTCCACAGTCCCTGTGAAGCTCAGCTTTAGTTTGTCCTTCTATTTTACCTTCATTTTCCCCGTCTAACTCTGCTGGTTGCTCTGTAGACGCCTTGGGAAGGGAACAAGTGAAACTCTGTAGGCACAGGATTGCTTTCCAAGGGAAGAAATGAAACAGGAGTAATGGGGTGGCTGTGTCCTCCTGCCCATCCCTCAGCACCCGCTCGCGTGTTTGGCACATGAGGAAACCATCACAGATGGCTGCAAGAGGAATAAAAGGAGAGCATTTCTGGTGATGTCATCGTGAAATTATCGAGTTTTATAAGTAGGGGAAGAACAGATGGTTTGAGCTATACCACCCCATTCAGTACCTGGGTTTCCATAGAAATTCCAGCGAGGCCAGTCCCCCCCACCCTGTGCCTGCAGAACACCTGGATTCAGCACCCCTGTCCCACTGATGCCAGGAGGGCACTAGAGTGGACCCCGCAGCCCTTACCCCCAGAACTGGTCCCCAGCAACCACACTGCAGTCCCCTGGGTGTCCCTGTGTCCCCTGACACTGCTCAGCCCCACACAGGGCACTGTAGCTCCTCTCCAGCCAGGAGACAGAACCACGGTGGCAATCAGGTTTTCCTAAAGATCCACTCCTATTTCCAGCAAGAAGCTCAGGAGAGGGAAGAACCTAGAAGAGAACTGGTCCCAGTCCCATCCTGCACTGCCCCAGGTTCCGTGGTTGCCATGGCAGCATCACCACAACGGAGTGAGGATGGTGTCCCACGATGGACCAAGCAAGGAGTTGTTGGGACTCCACATTACATGGACCTAAGGGGTTTCTGTGCCCCAAAACCAGCCCTGAAGCACATGCTCCAACATCTCCCTGGCTGTGTGTCCACAGCAAGGAGAAACCCTCATTTGGAATTGAGCCATAACCTGGCATTCGAAGCCTTTTGCTCCAACAGGAGCAGCCAGGGGTTCACCATCCCCAGCAGTGCTTCAGAATTAGGGCTGCTCCTCCCTCCCCTTTTGATCCCAGCTTCACATCCAGAATTTTTGCCTTCCAACCTGGTTTTTATCTGTTTTATTCATAAAGAGACCACCACCACCTCACTGCCACCGCTGTTGGCATTCAGAGCAGCAACAGGCGCTGCCAAACTGGGGAAAGACCCTGGGGACAGGGACCTGTTCGGTGGCTAATTAGGGGACAGATTGAGGCTTCATGCCCACTTCTCTCCTCCCCATGCAGGGAAGCACACAGGAGCTGTGGTCTGGGTCATGAGAGCCATGATAATCCTTTCCCTGTAAGCCGGAGCGCGTGGCCAGCTCCTTCCCAGGGACGGCACAAACGCTGAGATCCCTGGAGGGCAGGAGCACAGGGGCTGTGTTTTGTTGCCCTGGAGAATGCTTGCTCAGCTGTGGGCTGAAGGGGAGCAGAGCAGAGCTGAAGGTGAGCAAAGGGCAGCCTGTCCCAGTTTGCAGGGCTGCAGCGAGTTCAAAGCCACGAGCAAAATCCCCCGAGCAGAGCATCAGCACCTCCCCGTTATCCCAGAGACTTTGATGAGCTAACAGCCCAGCCACCGAGTTCCAGGCTAATTCCCAGCCAGACAAGCTCTGAGGAGGCATTTAATTGGAAATCATATTCATGGCAGAAAGCAGAACGTGGTGTTTGATAAGAGAAATCACAACTGAGGGCAGAGCCCTGCTGGGAAGGCACCGGAGCCTGAGGATCCCACCAGGGCTGGGGGAAGCTCCCAGAGCTTTTCATGCTGTTCCTGCATGAGCAACAGCTCTGTGGGATAATAACAACAACCTCTCCAGGGTGAGCTTGTCACTCAGTCCCAGTGGCCCTGGCTGTTTTATAGGGCACATCCCTTCTTTTCACCCTCAGCAGAAACAGGGCCAAACCCCCAGTTCCCAATAAAAGTGGAGGTGCAGGGGTGAACATTATTTTTCCAGAAACAAGTCCACTGAAAATGTTGTTTTTCCTTGGCTTGGACTAGTCCAGCCTCAAAATACAGCCCATATTGTCTGTCCTTTTTGTGTTCTTCTCCATGGACCAATTCTCAATTGTTTAGCAATGAACAAATCAGTAAATTAAACTATTCAGGAGAGCTCTGATTTGGTAGAGTCTGTGTCTGTCTCCCTCATTGCAGAAACACTGATTTGACTAAAGAGGACTTTTTTCACCCAAACAATGCCTGACTGTCACACTTGTTTTCAGTGAGGATGATTTCATTGTCTGGACCTTTCAGCAGAAGAGTATCTGGAGCAGGATGAGATTGTCCCTAACATTTGAATCCAAAAAATCTCCAGCTTCTGGGAGAAACAGAAGAAAAGTGACTTTCTATGCAATTTTCAACTTAACCAATCTTGCCTGATTTAACAAGTACATTTAGCACTGACTGACATGCAGAAATTATTCCTTCAGCAGCAGATCTGGGGGCTAATTAAAACTCATTGTACTATATTAAGGGATGAATTCTGATCTGTGCAAGCAGTGTAAACTTTCCCTGATTCCAGCAATGGTTTTCCTGTTTCACTGGCTCCAGTTCACAGGGGCTGCAGGGGATGGTCAGAGCTGGGCTGGCTCTGAGCTGAGCTCCCACCTGGGAGCATCCCATCGACGTCAAACAAAATCTCTGGGGTAAGCTGGAGAATTGGGCCCATATTTTCATGCAAATGCAATACATTCATGTTACTTAATGCCTATTTATAATAAATCCAGAACTTAAATCTACTTAACCCGTCTTTAGTGTTTGACACATGAAATCGGTGAGTCAGAGGGCTATATATGGAACTGTCAAAATTTTCTTTTTTCCCCTCCTCTAAAAGCCTGGATTAAATCATAATCAAATTCCCATCAGCTCCAGCAGCAGTGCTGGGATAAGCAGGAAGATGCTGACAACTGCTAAGGCAGCTGGTGGCGGGGAAAGATCTTCTCAGGCAACAAACTGATGGCTAAAACCTCAGAGAAAAGGTTCTGAATTCAGACACATGCTACCTCCATTTGCTGAAATGACAGAACCAGAATGGCTTTGGTTGGAGGGAATCTTAAATCTCATCCAGTTCCACCTCCTGCCATGGGCAGGGACACCTTCCACTGTCCCAGGCTGCTCCAAGCCTCATCCAACCCAGCTTTGAACACTTCCAGGGATGGGGCAGCCACAGCTTCTCTGGGCACCCTGTGGCAATGCCTCAACACCCTCTGAGCAAAGAATTTCTTCCTAACATCCAGACTAATCTCTCCTCTTTTAGTTTAAAATAATTTCCCTTGTCCTATCACCATCTTGCCCATGTAAATGTCCTGTAGTCCTGGAGGTATCCCTTTGCCTCCTGGTGTCACCTTACCAAGCCCTGGCTTGTGAATGGTGTCCCATAAGCACATTTTCTAGCCAGGTTTTTGTTTCTTTCCTCTGATGGATGTTATCTTCACATGTGCATGAATCAGCTTTCAACAGGCAAGACCAGTTTTGGCCCCAAACCATCACAAACACACTGAGAGTTGTAGACCTGCAGCATTTTGCAACTGGCTTGAGTTTTGCCCCGTGTTTCTTTGAGAAAAGTCTTAATTTCAGATATGCACCATCTACTCCTCAGATGCTGAGCTGTTCTCTCCCTGCACAATATCACTTCTTCCTCCCTGTCCCTCCTGGGTGGGGTAGAGACATCTCCGTACAGGGAAATGACCTAAAAGTTTTCAGGGTAATTGGTAGAAGTAAGGGGGGAGGAGGCTGTTGGCTGCCTCCTCGATTACAGCTGTAATTTCTCCACACTCCAAGAGGAAATTGTCATCGTAATTTCCTGCAGATGGTTTTCTCCTGAATTGCTGACACCAAGTGAAATGCGATTTCCAGCAGTGAGCTGTCTCCTCCCTGGCTTTGCTGGGTATTATTTCAAGCCTTGCTTTAGGAGCAAGCTCCCCAAGCTTTGACTTTAGGAAAGTAAAACTCTCCCACAGCAGGCTCCACTACTCCAGCAGAGCCAAATAACGCGTATTTTATCTGTCTGTGCTAACTCCCAGGCACCTTTGGCTGCAGCAGGTACACTGAATTACTGCTCAAAGGCTGCTTACACAGGGGTGGAATGCAGCAGGAAAATTGAGGAGGATGTGCTAAAAGCACAGAAAGAAGAGACCTCCAAAAATTTCACTGGCCTGAGGTCAAACCTGGCATGTAACAAGCACACAGGCGCTGCAGGATGATTTCAGCTGAAGCACGGAACAGAGAACTCAAGGACAGAGCCATCCCAGGTGCCACTGTCACACGAGGCTGTGTCTGACCTGGAGCAGGGTTCTCTGTGCCACCGTGGGGTGCTGAGCGCTGGCACAGGCTGCCCAGAAAAGCTGTGGCTGCCCCATCCCTGGAAGTGTCCCAGGCTGGACAGAGCTTGGAGCAACCTGGGACACTGGGAGCTGTCCCTGCCCATGGCAGGGGGTGGAACAGGATGAGCTTTAAGGTCCCTTCCAACCCAAATAATTCTGGGATTCTATGATCCTATGACTTTTTTTTGCTGAATTAGGTAAAACTGCACAAATTTGCTCTCAGTGGTGCTGCTGATCCCTCAGCAGCTTTGGAGACATCACACCCAAGCAGGAGGCAGGGGTTTGCTCCAGGCTGGGACATGCAATGCACCAGCTCTCAAAGCCTGGCACAGCATTTGGCCGCAGCTGAACCCAGCTAATAAATTCCCACCGTGACCTCCCACACCCCATTCTTCCCCAGGGAAGTCTGTTGGCAAATCCAGACGTTGTGCTGGAAACCCTCCATGCCAGACTGGGCTGGGAGCACTGGGAGGGTGGTCTGTGGCAGAGGAAGCAGCACAACACAGAGAGATTTGGGGAGGAAATTCCCTTTCCCATGGATTCCAGCAGCTCCATGTCAGCTCTGGGCAGAGCTGGGCAGCACAGGAGAGCACAGCAGGTACAGCCTGGGTTAGAAGAGCTATTTCCAATTAATCATTCCTGATTACAGTCCTGTGCAAGGCTCCTGGTCAGGAGTAAGAATACCTTATTAGTTGAACACGATCTGCAAGTGGCTTAAGGCAGCTGAGGATTTGCCTATGTAAGATCACTCAGGGAAA